GATCAAATACTGTTACTCTTTTCATGTCATGGCATGAAGTTGAGCCCTTCATAGCTAATTTGTATACTGCATATAAATTTATATGCATAAGAGAATTTGGAGAATTTAAATTTAATAATAATCTTCTATTCTTCTTCTATTGTTATTTTTCCCTTTATGCTTACTGCAAGGTCTAAGCTTTTTGTGGAAAGATAGGAAGACAATCTGACTCAAAAGGAGCAGTAGTATAAGGAAAGATGTGATATATGATGCAGTGAAAAGGAAGTGTGGTACAACAATGAAAACAACTACATATCTTCTTTATTCTAGAGTCTTTGGCATTTTATAGCAGTTGAAAAACTTTGTCCTCAAAGTTTTCAGTTCTGTCTTTAGTTCAGTTCTTGGTTCAAACAAGACTTCTTTCCAAGGTAAATGAGGTTTGACAGGTCTTTAGGAGGATTGGATTTTAGTAGACAAGTTGGAGAAGAGAATAGTGATACTATCATTATTGCTCTCAAAATCAGGCTATGAGCAAAAGAGTCACACAGGTGAGAGCAATGCCCCTGTCTCCATGTGCGTGGTTGTTGAAAAGACTGCTTAACACTCAGTTTGAAAAGCTGGCTTCACAATTTCATGTCATTTCTCACCAGGCTGTAGCATAACAGAAGCACGTAGTTGTTATTCCTTATGGGGATAACTGGTTTACACACAACACAAACAGAAAGCTATCGACTGCATCTACTGTACACTGTTCTGCTTTGTCACTGAAGGTGTCTGGAGGGGGAACAGGCTTGCCTGGCTTTAAATGACAAGTACCAGTAGTAAAAAACCCTCAGAAAGGTTGTGTGTTTCAGAAGCCAACTGATAATGAAGTACAGTAAAAAGAGTCTTGGGGGGGAATATTTATGGTCTGATATTCAAGCACTTGAGATCAGTGAATCTTATGGCACATACAACATCAAAGTTGCTTTGCAGAAGAGTGCAAGGGTAAATTAAGTTCTGGTAAACAAAGGATCAACAGACTTGGGTTAATTCTTATGGCTCCTCAGTACGCTTATGCTTTTACCATTCACTCTGCCAAATGATGCACTCTGTAGGAATAATCTAAAATTGGCATATGCAACTGGATTGCTCCCAAAAGAATGGAGGATCTGATTAGTAAAAGCAATCAGTGCTTACAGAATTGATGGATTTCAATTAAAAGTTATTTTTACTTATCTCTGATAGCCTGTGTGAGATCTCCAATGGAGACTCCCAATTAAGCTCATTTTTAAAGAGGCATATCTTTAAATCTTTTCAATAATGTTTATGTAAAATCTCTTCATTATTTCCCTAACTATGGGATAATGTATGTTCATTCTCTATATAATAATTAATCTTTCATTTGTAAAGTATGCCTTTCAAAAATCTTACAATAAAATATAAAACTGCAAGTATCAGCACAGTGCATAAATTCTAGAAGTGATGGGTACTATACTTCAGTAAACTAAAAAATTATCTATTCTTGTGGTTCATAAGAAAGTCTCTAACAATAAAGGTGAGATCACCTCCAGGTGTTTTTGATTCTAGCGTAAGTCATAAGGGAGTGACACGTCAGAAATAAGCGATGGTCTTTTCTTGAAATAGTAATTCTGTAAAAGCAGAAAGTCCATGCTAATGGAAAAGAATGGAAGACAATGATCAAGAAAACTACAGCTATTAAAAAATCAGAGGAATGCACTAATATTAAATAAGCTAAGTAGAAAACTACAAATAAGGACTGAGAAACATACAGATATTTTAATAGATCTAAAAAAAATGAGCAAGGATATACTGGTCAACAAAACAAGTATTGACAGGTGCAAGAAGTAAATAAACAAATAAAAGTGAATAAAAGATGAAGTGGATAGCAATGAATAAAAATTAGAAGATAGAAGGTGCATAGAGATGGTAAGGAAAGACAAAGGTCAAATACAAGAACAGAATAAAGTATAAGGATGTTTTATTTTCAAATATATCAGAATCAAAAGAACCCCCAAACCAATATTGTTTTAATTGTCCGGAAATAATAGAATAGTTAATAGCAGTGTATAGTAAATGGCAATTTAATGGAATGTTCCTTTTTGGAAAAAAAATCTAAATGAAGTTTTCAGAGCATACAAAGATGATAAATCGTCTTCTTATTTATAGCTATTTTAAATAGCAAGTTTAAATCGGAAAGTTTGGAAGCACTGAAGACTTTTACAAGACCTGGACAGGGAACATGTTAGACTATACTGTTGATTTTAGCAAGTCTTTGAACACTGGAGAAGTTCCAGAAGATCAAAAGAAAACCCGCACAGTGTTAATATTTTGAAACTGTAAGCAGTATTGCCCTAATAATTTCATCTATTTGCCAAGTTTTTATCTAGTGTAAAACGGCTGATACAGGATCGAAACTAACTATTAATAAATTAATTAACTACTAGTATATTTAATGGTGGATAACATAAGCTCCTGGAAAAGAGAGCTTGCCAAAGCGCTGCAGTATTTTTTTCTGGCCATCACTTTGGTTGAAAGTAGTATAGTCAGGATTCTACAAGACACATAATGTGATACTGCACATTAAAAAAAAATAAAAGTTATTTAAGTTTGAGAGATTAAAAATGTTCATGATACATAATGCATAGAATTTAAATGGGATAATTATGAGGTCTCAAAATGTAAGCATATGTAAGAAACCAGATATATACTTAGAAGCAGAGAAATTATACATATGTTTATAGCACATATAAGAAATGAGCCTTGTTTCTAATCAGGCCTTCTACAGTTTGGTTCTTGGCCTTAATATCACCTAAAGCTTTTATCAAAGACTTGGAAGAAAACACCAGCACCTTCTGATGAATGTTGCACTTGGAGAAACATTGGAGAAAAAGAAAGTGATGATGAGGGCTGGTCTGGATTGAGTACTAAACCAGTACAGCTAGTGGCAAATGGTGCAATAAAGAGACCATAACTACACTCACATCTGTCCTTGGACCACCAGCTCTGAAAAAGAGAAGCAGCAGCTCTGAAAGCAGGTTGGGCGTCACACAGTGATGAACACATTACATGACAGTGAAGCTAATAAGTCTCAGTCAGGTTTAATGTATAAAGAGAGGGAAACTGAACTGGCACACACAGATACACATTTTCCTGTGCATTTGGCACTGATGCTGCTACTAACTGATTGGTGTGTCCAGTTTGGGTGCTCAAAGCTCATAAAATGGGAGCGGGTTTGTAAGAAAACATGCCTTACACAGAATGAGGCAAGAAGCCTACCTTCATTTATCAAAAGAGATTAACTGATCAGGCTACATGGGTAGACAGAAAGACGTTAGGCAACTAGAGTCCTCTTATACTAGCAATAAAATCGGTGACACAACCAAATGCCTAGAAACTGAAGCTAGAGGAGCTCAGACGGCAAATGACAATTTTTTAATGGCAATTTTTTAATGGCAATGGGTAATTAAAACCACTTGCCTTAAATTTAAGTGGATTTTCTGTCACTGGAAACTTTGAAAGCAAGATTGATTGTATTTATAAAAATTATTGTCGAGTTGACAGCAACTGCTGGATTTGAAGGACTCAGGGAAATCCTACAGACTCAGCTAAGCAAGAGGTCAGGCTGGGGAACCACAATCACCTCTGCTCACCTCATATTGTATTAGTCTCACTTAAACATGAAGAAGTTAGTGAAGGTGTTTTAAAGGACAGTACAGGGAATTTAATCACAGAAGTGAGGACTGCTAGGAGAGGGAGTAATTTCTTTTCTTTATTATTATTTATCAGGGAGAACAAGAAACATGCCAGGAAGAGAGATAAGGTTTCAGTGGAGAGAAGCAAGTTAAGAACAGAAAAATTACTGGAATGAAGAAGTACCTCAGAACAAATTTAAAACAAAAATTAGATCATCTGAAAATAAAGGAGGATCCAAGAAGGGATGGCCAGCATCCCAGAATCCTGAAAGACAAGGCAGACACTATTAAAAAAACATAGCTGCAAGAATTTTTAACTCCTCACTGTTACAAAGAGGGGTATCTACTAAGGACCAGAAAGAAGGTAATGTTAGATGGGTGCTTAAGAAAACATCTGAGGGGAAAAAACCCCAAAATCTCTAAATTTTCTGATCAGGAAGAAATTAAGATCTGTAAGTTATACAATAGAATAAATAAGCTGGGAACAGTACAATACTAACAAACCCGATTAATCCTAGTACAAGGGTTTAAAAGGTTAAAAGGAGTAGTATATTGAATATTGAAAACTATATTGAATGCACTCAATTTGAAAAAGCAGATATAGTGTACAAACACTAATGGTATCAATAGATTATCAAACAGAATTAAAACAATTTGTCGGTTTCCAGCCAAGATGAGAACATAATGGAAAATGGATGCTGGCTGTTTAGGAATGAGATGAGGAACAATATAGGAAAGATGAGCACTGAGCTTAATCTTGCTTACAATAGATCAGATAGCCAGAATAGGCAGTAATATGAGTAATAACTGACCATCACTGAATGTAAAAGAGGAATGATGCTGGATCGAAATAAATCTGAGAAAATAGAGAGGTACCTAGAAAAACTGCTAATATCATATGTGTAAAATATGAAAACTATTGATAACTGGATAAAAAACAAAAGGAGGATATGCTCTTAGGCCTAGTGATGGGCTACAAGACATTGGCAATGAAAGAAATCTGTTTTGGTGGCAGTGGCAATAAGATGTCTGAAAGCATTACTCAGAGATGGCAGCAACTAGGTGAGTGGAAAAACCTGCTGTGAGCTGGGTACACCTGCACTGCACTGGGCTGCAACATGCAGAGATACCCATGCTGGTTTCAAACAGCAGTATGGAGACTCCAACCGAGTAACACACCGGGTCTAAATGAACTTGCCTACATATGATTTTTTTCTAAAGCAGTCCATTAATTAGTATAAATGGGCTCTCTCTCTCTCCCTCCCCCCCAAAGTCACTATGCAAAATACAAACCCATATACATAAAAAAAAATTTAAAACCCATACTATTTTCCTGTCGTAGGATTCCCCGCTGCTGTATGTTGTAGCTAGTGTGGATGCACATTCTTCCAGATACCACGGCTTCTTCCCACTTTCAGCTGTGCTGCTTATGGAGATAGTGTAGATGCTATTCGTGTAGCCATCACAGGAGCAGTGGTCTCGACTTCTTCCACCATTTCCAGATGCCCAAACAAAGACTGAACCTAAGCCTCTTCGTCCCTGTTTGGAAAGAGCACAAAAGATTTGATTAATAATTCTTTTCCCCGTCACCTGCTTAACAAACAGGTCTTTTCCCCCCAAAAGACATCTGATGAGAGAAAGACAATAAAAGAAACTAGCTGACTGAGAAGAATCTAAAATGAAAACAGGATTTAGCAGAGTTCAGAATCAGACATCAGAAAATTTCAGAAAATGAGTGGTATCAACACAGCTTTAGAAACAACTTTTATACAGTGTCTGTTTGTTGCTCTGCATCTATGCTGTCCAGCCGTACCAAGAAAGAGGTGCTGAAGACTCAGAGGAAGCACTAAAACATCATACTGAAAAAGGAAAAGAAACAGCATACTTGAAACTAAAACCCTTTGTAACACATGATACCTTTCATTTATTAGGGCGCTCCCAGCTGTTTCTTCTTGGGTTGCCTGGTGGCACCAGGTATTGTTTGGGTAGCATTATATACTGTGAACTAGAGCATCATTGTTTCACAGACACTATAAATCACAGAGTCACAGAATACCTGAGGTGGGAAGGGACCTCAGGTCATCTAGTCCAACCCATCTAGTCCGTTATGAGTGCTAAATGCACAGCACAGTATATAAACAAAAATGGACAAAAATAAAATGCTTATAAATCTATTATAATGAAGCACTAAAGCATTAGTTCAGCACGATATTTTAAATATATGACTAGTTGGGCAAGTTCATAATTTCAAATGAGGACTTAAAAATAGGTAACCTCACCTCGACATTTTCTTAATACACCAAAGTTATATAGTGTCCAAATGAATCAAGACATTTTTGGTGGTGCTAGTACCCTTATATGGGCATTGATATGAAAAGTGAAGATGATCAGTAACCTGTATTGCTGATATATGGGAATTGAGAATTACCAATGAATGAGTAATTGGGCTTTTCCTGATTTATATTTACATATTTCATGCAGATTCATGCAACTGTATGATCTGCATTATTATCAGCACTCACCATCTGGAAGCACTTTGCCATTCAGATAGAAAGGTTCACCAAAGGACTAAACTTGTCTTTGATTAAGCTAACTTGTGTCACCTTTTCTTACAGGACATTCTCTCAAAGCATGGGACATCCCTCTCAGTTACAATTATGCTGGCAGTCTCATTTATACCTCATTTGCTTGCAACTCATTATGTAGTATCTACCCAGTTTTTGGGTAGGCCCACTGCTCTGTATGATAAATTAATGTTATAAGGCATAAACCACCACTTTCTGTGCATGAATTAATTGCTTGGCCATGGGGGGATTTTGTTTGTTTAGTTGTTTTTTTTCTAAACAGAGTGCAATTGTGTACCACAAACAACATAAAGACAGCTGTTGGACATCTACCAGGTCAACCTTAAACAATTAGCAATTCAAAGGTTCATTTAATCCAGATGCTCAGAGGGGTTTCACTAGGGCTTTTTGTGCTGAGCACAACTGAACATCAATGTAAGACAGAAAACTCTCACAGTTCACAATCCAGGTTTGAGTTCTCAAACATCGATTAATTTCATTTTGTGAGTTTAATGAAAGTATACTACCTGGAGAGACTCTTCTGTCCAGCAAAATAAGTTAAATATCAAATTCTCCTGGCTAGTGTTTACATAAGGTTATGTCTCTAAAATGCAGCTTCTCATTAAAAAAACATTTTAAGCAGAGAAAAAAATCCCAGGGTGCCAAGTTAAATGTATTATGAAATCCACATTCTCCAGACAAGATCAGTCTGATCAGCTGGGAAGTGTAACTATTTCAAATTCTTTCACTTCCGTTAGTTGGTCTTAGTTACTACACTAACAAAAAGATGCAAAATAGCAACATTTTTTGTTGTTTTAAGACAACCTTTATGAAGTGTTACAGCTCTCCTTCCCCACATTATGAACTCTCGCCAAATCAAAACCCCCTTTCCGTTTGGGATTCTTGTTCTGTCTGCTTTTCTCAGCCAGCAGGGTCTGATGCAGAGCCTCCCAAAGCCAGTGGGATGTGTTTTGCAACTTCATGGGCTGGAACTGGTTTATGAACCACTTCTCTTTCATTCTACCATCTAGTCATCTCCCTTTGCATATCTTTACTTCTTACCCCTCCATTCTGAAAACATCTGATGAGACAGACAAAAGGAAGGGTAAATGGAAAGATTATTTCATGCATATTCACTGATTTATTACCCCAGCAGCTCAGGGAGCCAGAAGTTAGGGCCCTCTGTCTGTCTGTGGGGAATGGGATGGAGGATTATGCTAAAGATATGCTGGTTCTCTACTGTTTAATGTGCTCCTGCTTGATTTTTATTGGTTTTGTTTTGGTTTCATCCCATCATCTCTTGCAATTAGATCATGCTTCTCAGCAGTATTCTATTATGGTCATTGGTCATTTCAATGGTCATTTTTGGCTTGTCAATTCTGACATTTGTTTCAGAGTCATGTACAGATTCCTGTCTGGCCCTACATTGCCCTTAAAAACCAACTTCTTTCTTCTACATAGACACACACCAACAATGTTAATATATGTATAGGCAGGCAGAATACACAGAAAAACACATATCATACAGACACACTTCTACCTCCAGAACATGTCAAAATATTCCATCAGAACCTTTTTTTGATGAATTTTCACAAGTATCTGCTATCTGAAGAATTCTGCATTTTTCTTCTTCACATGTGTTTCTCAAGAGCACAGTGTTATGTAACTACATTTGGCCAATTCAATACCCCATGGGAAATTCAGAGTAACCCACCAATACAACCAAGAGAGAAGAAATGAGAACTCAGGGTAATCAAACCACAGATCCAAGGAGGAGAAAAATGGAATCTAAATGTTTTAATATGTTGTCTAAAAGTCTCTTTCACTTTAAAAAAAAAAGTTTTGTAAAAAAAAATTCTCAAAAACAAAGGCATACAAGAAAATATCCTATCAATAACAGTCCACCTGTCATTTTTCTGCTGTCATCATCAGCAGGTTTTGTCTCCAAACAGCAGTATAACATGATTTGTCCCACTCATGCAACGAAAACCTTTTCACAGAAGGGCAGGGCTGTACTTTGTGTAAATTTTGCAGGACCAACCCTTGAATTATTAGCTTCTCTGCACAGAGAATGTGTCTATATTTCTTTAGATGCATACTTATGCTACTGTACTAATAATGAAAAATGAGCTGCAGAAACAGATATGTGAATACATTTTTGGGCACAAAATGTAGTCCTGATGAAAACATGCCAATGGATGCTAGAAATTCTGTATTGCAGTGTTTAAAAATAATAAACACCAATTTAGATGTTAATAGTAATGACAGGGCTTTAAAAATAACAGCCATTTGCACCCAAATTTACCTCTCCATGCTAATTTTTTTGTAAACAAATAATAACAAATATTTCTTCAAAACTAATATCTCCTGCAAATATATAAAGTATCAACATCTCTGTTATTGCAATAAAAAAATCAAGTACCAGGTGCAGTGACTAATGGAAAAGAGTATTTTCTAATACATACAAAGAAAGAATTCCCATTCCTCTAACACATTGCAATACTGCACATTTAACAACTCAGCATTTCACAGAAAACAACAGCATTATCTTCAGTCTAGAAAACATGCTAAAGATCTTGTTCCTAGAAGCTATTTGGCAAAGCAAACGGCAGCCTTAAAAAAACAAAAAATAAGCAAACCCCCAAACTAAATTCAACCTGACTAAAATAATGTGTCAAGTAAATAAGTTCTGGTTTACATTTACTGCCTATTGTTAAACTACCATTTGGTTTCCTCTTTCTCCCTGTTTCCAAACACCCTGCTTTAATTCAATAGACCCAGTCATGCTCAGGAAATTATAAACTTGCTAGTAACTATACCAAACAAGTAATTAGAGCAACAGCATCAGCTGTCCTACTGTATGTGAATGCCATTCCCAATTGGTTTCCTTTAAATACATAGTTAAATAACATTTGGACCGTGTTACAAAGTTAAGATAAACACACATGCAAGGCACTCTGTAGCTTTGACTGTTTGTCTAAATCTATCATCTGTCATCTGCCAGATGCCCAAGGGTGTCAAGATGAAAAGTCAAGCCTTGAGCTGCCAAAGAAGCCATGTGTCATTTATTACTCAAAAGCAAAGGTGCATTTACAAACCATATGGGTACAACTTGAGCAAAACTAAAAGAGTTAGTGAGCTATAGCAGAGGCATAGACCAGGGTGGAATGGGTGTGCAGCAAAGTACGCTCAGTGCTTGTCCCATGATGTTAAAAATGCATTACCTCTCCCTCTAGGCACAGTGTTGTTTCTGCTCTTCCATTTGCAATGATAGCTACTGACTCCCTCTTACAAACTCGGCAAGGTGTCCATAACTGCACTTGTGCTTGTCAGTGCACACGTCAGACCATTATGAAATGTTCTCCTTTTGTTTTGCCTACTTTCTTAAATTGCACAAAATGTCAGATAATTAAAAAAAATAATCAAGTGTTCCATTATGGAAAAGAAAAAGTCTTTCACTGACAACTAAGACTTGCTATTGACCTAGTCACAGTCCAATTTTCTAGCACATTTCCTGGGCAAAGCCAATGTGCTCAACACACAGCTGACCTTGAACGAGACAGACTCAGGTCATTGACAAAAAGGCCCCAAGGCAGAAATGGCACCTGTAAAAGCGTGGCACAAGAATCTTGGGGCATTCCCACTTTTTTTCTGCTAGTGTCTCCTTTTCCTTGGTCAGCAAGTTACAAGCAGGGTAAGTGATATGAAAGCTCTTTTTTTTCCAGTTCAACAGCACGGAAGGGTTAGTCTGCCAAGAACCAGAGCCAGTATGGACATGTTCGTAATGACATCTGCAGAATTTCCTAACACTATTAAAAGAACATCCCCCGCTCCAAGTGCGTGCGTGCGTGTGTGTGTGTGTGTGTATACATATAAACCATATCTTTATGAGTGAATGCCTTAGTGGTACTGGCAGGAACCATTATAAGGTAGAGGTCTTCACACATGCATCTAAGACAACCAGCAGCCCCACAT